ACCTATTCTTGTTTGCCTGTCATATTATCATATAGCGATTTGTAAAGAAGAGTAACATTTTCACCCAATCAATACACTCTATCATTCGTTCTTTCTAAACCACAAATAAGTTCATTAATCACCTATGCACATAACATTCATTTTTTTTTAAAAATCTAAATCACAATTCTCAATTGAATAATAAGTTCAAAAACAACAAATGAAAGAAAGAACGATGAAAAAAATGACTTGAATAGGAGTCTAGAACTTATCAAGAGAGAAAGAGGTGATTCGGATAGAAATTGGCAAACTAATAAGAAAAATACGACTAGCGATTTGTGATTGGGAATTGCATTTTGTTCAACAATGGCAGGCAAGCGTCAAATGTTTGAGAAATGAGAGTTTAGGTTAGGGCTTCTGAAGTTGTGGGCGTGATTTATTGTCGTAGTTTTGTTGAGTTATGATTTGGATTGTTGAAAATAAATGTTTTTTTAATTATTTCATATGATGTGGGATTAATTTTAGTTTAGATTAGATATCGGGTCAGGACATGTGTTGTGGACTTGTAAAACCATCGACCAATAATGGTGACCTTATTTTACTTTATATGATTATTTCAATGGGTTGGTTGTAATTTGTATTGTTAAATTGGTATTTTTTGCTGAAACATGAAAATTTGTAAGTTAATAAAATTATTTTTTTAATTAAAAATTTTGAAAACAGTTAGTTCAATTTTATGCGGTTTTTGAAAATTGAAATCTAAACCAAACCATTTTGAAACTGTTTGGTTCGATTTGAGGGAAAAGATTTGCGGTTTCACGGTTTTTTTGTGTAGCCCTATGTTAGGCTATATATCCCTACTATCTTAAAAGAGGCAACCCATTGTTTACTGTTCATTTGTGAAACTTTTTGTTTATCCCATTTCTACCCTTTTTTCTACTTTATTGCCTCTGAATATCTGATTTCTTTTTGGGCAAGTCACAGTCTACTGTACCTATACCCACAATTGTCGACTTTACATCCCTACTTTGCTCCTGAAGGAAGGCAAAAAAACAAACAGCAATTCCTTTTACACGTTTTGCCCACAACATCAATTCCAACATTGCTACATCAAATATCCACCGACTGCGAGGATTTTTTGTACACACAATTCCATTGTTGAGTTCATCAAAGCAATTGAAACTGTAACAAAAAAAAAATCCCGGGTTGTAATCGTTTGTACAAAATTGAGCGATACATTACAATTTGCAACTTCTCCCACACCTTCTCGACTTTAGCTTACAACAACTATTTCAGTTTAAATCGACCATAGGCCTTCTGGGGGTTGTAAGAGCTGGTACAAAAATGCGATATAAGTTACATTTCCCTGATTTGAACTTGTGTGAAAGTTTTCGAATAGACATCCCGAGGTATATGTATTATATATTCCCAGAAGACATTGAAAAGAAATTTCGTTTAAACCATAGAACTTGCTTGTCAGTTTCAAGTATTTCTATTAGTTTTCAACATATGCTGATAGGTTAAATAGGTTAAAATCTTTCATAAGAATCTTATTTCCAGTTATGAACATAGTTATATGCACTAATAACCTTCTTCAATTTCTGTTAGTGGCTTTCAGCCTCAACAATTCCATAACTTAACATACTGTTGTAATGGATGTTACGAATACATGTTCCGATGGATGTTACAATTGCTATTTTCCGACATTACTGATTGCAACTAAGTTTCGTATGATAGTGATTGGTCTGTAAATGGTAAATCTATTAAGTTGTTTTCTATGGCAATGAGATTGCCTATGAAAATGATATGAATTAGATTTAAGAATGTTTTTTTTTTTCATTGCAGAAAAAAAATTCAGGAATTGCTACTCTGCACTGTGCAGAGGAACATCACTTAGCACTGCACGGACCATTTTATTTTATTTTTTTTTACAGTGCAACGCGTAGCAATACTCTGCACTGTGCGGAGGAACATCACTCTGCACTGCGCGGACCATTTTTTTTTTTTTACAGTGCAAACAATAATATATGATAAACACATAACAAAATAAAAAAAATCATTTCTATCTTGTATATTTCAAAAATGTACAATACATTTAAAAATAACATTAATCAAATTCACACACTTATTTTTAATTTTAGGTGATAATATTTACTTACATTTTACACAAACTAAATACAAGTTCACTTATTAATAATTTAATTCAAAAACATTAAAAAATTACAAAAGCTTACAATTGTTTACAAATCAGGTTGATCACAGTCGGGGGCGTTGTTCGAACCCCCACGAGGGTCGCGCCCCCTCGACCCCCACGACTTGACCGGGCAAGTGGATCCCCGTCCGAGGCGTTGCCCCCAAACCCCCGCAAGCTAATCGGGTAAGTCGTTCTCGCCGGGGGTATTGCCGTATTGCCCTTGAACCCCTACGAGGAGCGCTGCCCCCTCGACTTTGAATTTCTTATTGCTTATTGGGCAATCCACCATTTATTATTCATTTGTGAAGCTTTTTTTCATTAAGGCAATCCACTGTTTACTTGATTAGTGTTCAAAATAACTTTCTTCCTTGTTTAGTGTGTACTATAAATAATTTGGTACAGAGCCCAAATACGAATTGTCAAACGTTAGCAAACTTAGAAAGATTAATATTGTCCCCATTAATTTCTTCCTTGGAAAAAAATTAGGCTACAAAAAACTTTTCATTTGAATCTTACTAGAATATTATCATTAAGAAATTTTACTAATTATTATGTTAGATAAAAACTTACTGAATTTTCACAACAATTTAGCTTTCCATTAATATTTGATACATTAACATTACTTTAAAAATATCGAAGCCCGTACATTGTAGGGCATACAACTAGTATATATTAAAGCTTTGTTGGTTGGCTAGGCTAGAGTACATGTTAAGGTTGTATATGGGCTAGGGTTTAGGTTGGGTAATTTGCGTCTTAGGCCTGACTAATTGGGCGGTTGTTTAATCTAATAGTAACGAGTAATAAGAAATCTGATGAAATCTTGTACACATTTTTTAGCAGCAACTAAAGCAGGAAACGAAACAGAGGCGGCGAAACAGCTCTGCCAAAATTTATTATTCTCCTTTCACAAACGACGAACAAAAATTAAAAGCTGGGTTTGGTTGGATTCGATGTTGATGACTGCAGCAGAAATTTCTCGAACTTANAATAGTCCTAACTTGTGGAAATCGTCTAAAGTATACTACCTTTAACATATTCTACCTATACACAAAAGTAATACAACTTTTGAATATTGAAACCTGTTCAAATTTCAATGTGCACTTTTTAGAGGGGTGTATTCAACTGGCACTTTTGAAAACTTTTATGAACTTTTTTAAGTGACAATTTTTGTGAATTTCGTGAACTTTTTATAGAATGAATGGAAGTATTTCATAGACTTCTATAGACTTTTATTTTAAAACTTTTATAAACTTTTGTATAATTCAAAAGATTTATGAAGACTTTCATTTAAAATTGAATTCACATGGATCTAGAACAATAGTGTAAAATTCTCATATACGAGATGGTGGTTCCCACAATTCACTTTCACCTCCCCATATAATAAAAAAATATTTTTAAAAGAATAAAAAGTTTAGTCACCTTAACAAAAAATAATATATATACATTACATTATTCTTTCATAAAAAATAAATAAATAATGTACTATTCGGTATAATCAATATAACGTACCTTTAAACAGTAAACAAGAAATCAATATATTTAAATTTAATTTAAATTCATTTTTTATATGAAAACTTATAATTTTCAATTACAAATAGATATTTTCATAAAAAATGATGAAAACAAAAGTTATAAAAATCTTTAATTAAAATTCAATTTTTCATAGAAAACATAGGTAAAAAAAAATAGAAGTGAGAGAGAGAAAAAATGATAAATAGAAACAAATATAACCAGTAGGGAAAAATAATTTTTAATCATAACTCTAATGTTCGTAGAAAGAAAATAAAAGACATATTGAAATAAATAAATAAAAAATACATCTTAATTTTTTTGTGTGTGTGTGAAAGTCTCCCAAAATTTTGAGATAAATGTGAGACAAATTTTGAGATTTTATATTAGTACTTTCTACTTAAAAGTTAGTACCCTAGAAACTTTTATAAAAAAATTTAAAAGTGATTAACAACTTGAATACCCTATGATTTAAAGAGGCTTTTGAAAAGTTATAATTGAATACATCGTGACTTTTAAAGAATTTTTAAAAGTCTGTAAAAATTTCAATTGAATACATCAATACTTTTAGAGAGTCTCAAAAAGCTTAAATTGAATATCACTAAACTTTTTAAATTCCAAAAAGTTTTTAAAAGTCTCAATTGAATACTATTCTACATTAAACGATCTTTATTCGTAATTTATTAAGAATATTTTTATCTTCATTCACCAAATCTACCTTTAGTCTAATTTAATAAACCACCAAATTTTAGCCCGACATGTACACCTTGTATAATTTATTATAAATACCCATCCATATTATTCAAAACAATCTTGACACGATATTAGAAACTGCATATTAGGGGGTAGCTTTCCTTTCATTTACATAAGGGTTTTGCTACTTGTTCACGGGGTACAACCACCCCCCCCCCCCCACACCACAACAAAGGGGTGTGGGGCCCCTTATTTGTGAGAGGGTTGTACACCGTTACATAAATGGCATCTGTTGTATAAAATCACTATTTATGGAAAAATATTAGTTTCTAGTTTTGCATGGTAGCTTTCCAGTAATTTACATAAAATGGATTTTGAAGTCGTTGCACAGAAAAAAAATTGCATGTATTTTGATTAATCTCAAGCTTACATATATACAACAATGTTGGAAAATGCACTACATTACATTCACAAATTACCATAATTAGAAGACAAATATTCTTGAAAAAAAAGCAAGGTCATTTTAGATCAAAATCTGCACTTCATAAAATCTTGTGAGATTCAAACAAGAATTTTCGTGTTACCTGTATACATTACATGCATTAAGTTACTAACAAATACTACTTCACTGATTGGCCATTAGACTACGTATGAGCTCCAGAATTGAGCTTCGCATATCAGAAACAGCAAATGGACTAACTTGTTCCTTGATGGCAGAGAACCATAAATCCTCCGAATCTTTTGGACCATCCCTTAGATGCCAATGGCAGATACATCTTGCAATGGCTGTAACATATACACCACAATCATAACCATTCGTTTGCACCGGGGTACTGGAGCATTCAAGATAAGCAGCCCTGGTATCTGTATAAGGAACTACAGCTTTATAGACTCGTTTGGCATGCACTTTGTTCATACCTCTACCACTGCTGTCATGGTGCACAAAGACGTTAGCATTTCTCGAAAATGCAAGTAAACTCCAGTGACTTCCTCCTTCGGCTATGTCCAAGTTGGTGTTATCATTGATGGGAAAAATTATTAGATTCCACCTAGAAAGATTTAGAGGTTCCACAAAACCTTTGAGGCTCCCAATATCTGGGCACTCTTTTATCCAGAAAGCGATTGAAGGTGGTACTAGAAGGATGTCCTCAGAAGAATAGCAGGATTCCAGATAACTGAAATAGAATTCAATGATGCGATCATTGAGAAAATATGGGCCACTGAGAATGTCAAGATCTGATCGCCTAAGAACAACATCGTTGTAACTCAGAATTTTCTCATCAGCTGTTGCTTTTGCCATGTTTTAGGTACCTAATTATAACCCCAAAAGTACAAATTTGATTAATGTAAGAGGCCGGCATGTGATATAAAGCTGGAGAATATACAGTTATGCTACAAAATAATCACAAGTTTTCGAGTGAAAGAATGAAAAAAGAAAGATTCAGTAAAATGTATAGTCCTGCCTTCCATCTGCATTCTCAACATCTACTTTCATCACTAAATTTTCTTACATATATCTTAAATTCATTCACAACTGAAAGTTTGACAGACATTCATCCATCACAATTTTATTTTAATTTTTGTGAAGTATATAAATTCATAAATTCTAAAGCTTATGCATTAAACATATTGTTCATGCAAGCTGGCTGTTCAGTTCTTGCTGCAGGGAAAATTTCACCAAAAATTTTTTGCACACAGGACACTGTGCAGTAAACTTATTAGTCAGGTGGGTTTTGCTCGGTTATATTATATTATCAATCGATATGTACTTTTTCTTTCAAGAAAGTTGGTTCACAAATCACTATAACTTCTAAAAAATGTAGAGTGTGGTCAACAGCATGAATCAATTGCAGAATTAGATAGAATTTAACCAAGCAGCACATCAATTATTAAGGAGGCTGGATTTGTAGGTCAATGAAAATATCCAAAATGTGCACATGATCAACTATGCCACGACATATTTTGCTAAACAGAGTTTGAGGATCAGGTGCATTAATAGGCATGCATCTTCAGGACATGACTCATGAGTGAGCAATTTGAGTTTTCCATCAATAATTCTAACAAGGAAAAATAATCTGTGATACTCGGACTTGGTATTCCGGCCGAAATAACCGTGTCGACACGACAATGGTATGGATATGAAATATGGGATGGATCCTTCAGTTTTCAAGTGGGTATGACAATTGTAATTAATTGTCATTTCTAACTTTTATTTTAATTTTGTGCTTTTGTCATGTAAATTTATGATTTTTTTCGTGTTTTAGACTTTTAGTATAAATTTCTAGTTGATTTTAAATGGCATGATCTATATTTTAACAATTTGCTATTTAATTATAATTTAACTTTTTACACGTGAGGAAAAAAATTGAAGTGGAAAGGCATACCCATGTACCCGTGTCCAAAATTTGGTTTCTTTTAGCCATGTTCCCGTACCCTATATTTTAAAAAATAAAAGATCCAACACTTAGATACGTACTTGTACCCGAGTCCAAGCATCATATACAATAATTATATATTGAATGAGAACCTTATTTTCTATGTACATCTAAGCCTCCACAGGTCCTGCCATGACAGGAGCCTGATGCACAGTGTAGGGTCCTTTCCTATAAATCACCTTAGGGACCATTTACTTTTCCTGCTGCCATCTCTATTCATTCCTGTCTAAAAGGCTCAATGTCAATTATGTAACAATTCAAGAGACCAATATTTTTCCTTGGATTTCATCTACACTCTCTTTGAAGAAGAATTTGGATTTCTCTAGATGCAATTTCTATCCTTCTGTTTATTGTCATTAGTTATGAGAAACAATGTCTTTGACATGTCCATGGTGTACACTGGAGGTTAGAGTAAGGTTTACCAGACATCATTGCATGAGTTTCCTTAATTTTAAGGAGATAGAGAAGTCAATCTCATTTTCATCTTTGTTCTCTCCTACCCCAAGACAGGGTTCTTTAAACTTTATTTTCCCAACATGGCAATTACACTTTCTTCTCAACTTTTTACCATAGAAAATATCATTGGCTGTGTTACTGGCTATACAGATTCATTAAAATGGCCGATTATGAGCTCATGATTCTTGTGTAAAACAGGTGTATTAGACAGACTAAAACATTTATTAGAAAACAAGCAGTATCTCTCAGATTTTGATTTTGCACTAAATGATGTTATGTTGCGTGATGTCATAGCATTGCTACATGAAGTGAGTGCAGGTCCACGTCACGTTATCCCCATAGAGGGTAATAAAGTGGCCCACGGCTCGCCTCCTTTGCTTGATAGTGTTAAGTTTTGTAATTAACTGGCTATTCCTGACAAAATTAAAGTAATTGATAAGTTGTAAAAGTCTAGAAATTGTTTGGGTATTAGTATAGGTCAACAATAAGTCCAAGAGATCAAAGATGGAACAAGAAGAAAAAATAGCCGCAATGCCTCTAGATTGTCGATTGTTCAGCGCTCGAGCGGCAGAGCTGCCGCAAGCTAGGTGCTTGAGTAGTGATCTTAATCAGCAAAACCCTAGTTCGCGATTTTAAGTTGTTTTCTAATCCTATACAACCCCAAACTGTCCAAATTATAAATACCCAAGCCCTAATCCGAGTTAGAGATTGGTTGATCATTCTTAGACAAGAGAGAACACAACGAAAACATCCTATATCGATTCTATCAATTCTCTTGATTCAACCAAACCGCTGAAAACATCAAAAGCTAGATAATTAAAACACCCACTTCCGTATAATATGTCAGAGTTCTGAAGATTCAGAAAGGCGACCAAAGTTCCGGATGGAAAAGAACGAGTTCATTCTCGGAGATTCACAGGAGACAAACAACTCCAAAGTTCAGAAGCTGGTACTGGAGCACGGAGTACAAGGAGTTCCTGGGTGATTACAGATAGGAAGACAGAAAGTACAAAGGTTTAGTCGAGTCTGAACCGGCTGTAGGTTTTTTCGTTTATAGTGGATATTACTAAATTGGGCCATGAGTTTTTTTATTCTACAAAGGGTTTTCTCCGTCATCAATTTTGTGGTATAATTAATTTTTCTAGCAATTTATCAATTGCAGTATTTCAACTTAGAATAGTATTGCATGTGAATTCATTAATCAATGATTGTGCCTTGTTGCTTTGATTAATAGGTAAATTTAAATTCCACATAAAACCAGTGTTCTAAAAGGCAGCAAAATGCACCGCCTAGGTGCAAGGCGTGGCCAAAACGCGTTGAATTCGGGGAAATGCGCGAAAAATGCGTTTTCCATCTAAAAGGTGGGAATAATGCCTGCCTAGGCACTCATAGGCCCGCATTATCCCGCCCAATCCCTTTTTTTTAACTCTATTTTTTTTATGATATATTAAAAAATCTATTTTTTTGATATAAAAATATATTTAATACCTTAAAAATACGAAACGCATTATTGCGTTTATTCTTCGCATTGACACACCTAAACTTGTGATTCTTGATTCTCGGCCTCGACGTATCGCAACGCATTACACATTTTAGAACACTGCATAAAACACATATTCACTCCCCCCCAGGCATTAGTTGGGTCAAACGTCATAATTTTCAATCGATATCAGAGATCAAATTGATTCTTAACCCTAACTTAATCTAGATGAGTCGGTCTCTTTTTGTGCCTCCGTATTTTGACGAAAGCAATTATGCATACTGGAAAATTAGGATGAGAGCGTTACTTAAATCTATGGATGAGCGAATCCGAGTGTGTTGAGAAAGGTTAGACCGCCCCTACCACTTCTATTTCCGGTGCAGTTACCCCTACGGACATTTCCCTTTGGACTAAGAATGAACAAGCTGAGTGTAACTGGAATGGTAAAGGGCTTCATGCCCTATTTATGGTTGTGTCCGCCGAAGAGTTTAGAAGAGTATCAATGTGTAAGACCGCCAAGAGGTATCAGATATTCTAGAAACCACACATAAGGGAACTAAGATAGTTAAGACCTCAAAACTACAGATGTTGAGCACTAAGTTTGAAGAGATTAGAATGGGGATTAATCATTCGATGAATTCTATGCGAAATTATTTAGTAAACTCTAGCTTTATCCTAGATGAAAAAATCCCGAAAATGAAAATTGTGAGAAAAGTCCTTAGATGCTTACCCGAGAAGTTTAGACCTAAAATAACGGCTATCGAGGAGAGCAAGGATTTAGATATGGTCAAGATAGAAGAATTAGTTATATCTCTCAAAACTTATGAACTAACCATATCTCATTCTAAGAAAGAAGTCGATAGCCTTAAATACTATTAAGGAAGGAGATGATGACACCACAGACCATGAAACCCTAAACGATGAAGAGAGAGCTTACTTCGTTAAGAAGTTTCAAAAAGCCTTTAGGAATATTAAGCAATCTCAGGATATATTCAAGAATGGCCCTAGCAAATTTAGGAATGATAATCAAGAGAAGCAAGATTCTAGGGCTGGTAGGAAGCAATCACAAGAGTTCAGATGTCATGAGTATCACGAATTTGGTCACATTAGAGCTGAATGAGCTACTTATAAGAAAACCCAGGGTAAACCTATAAATGCAACTCTCATTGATGACAAATCTAACTCGACAATCAAAGTGAGAAGTCCAATTCTGAGGGTCCTAACTATATGGCGTTTGCTTCTATTGTTAGGAGTGAATTTGATAAGAAAATTGAGAAGAATGAGGACTTGTAACGTAGTGAGGGTTTTGAGAAAGACTATGAGGATGATTCAGAGATTCGTGAGATGTATAATCAGTTATTTGATGGGAGTCTTAAGATAAAGAAGGTGAATAAAGCTGTATTTAAGAAAGTTAATGAATTTGAGCTAGAAAGAGAGAGACTTATATTTGACCATTAGGAGTCAACAAGGATTAGTCCAGGTTAAAACCCTAACAAGCGAGCTTGAGAAATCTAATACTCAAATCCATCCATTATTGAGTGGATCTCAGAAACTTGACAATCTTTTAAGGTTGAACAAGCCTGCTGGGAATGGGGAAGGTCTATGATATAGACAGACTAATCAAAATAGGGCTAGTACTTCCAAAACCACATTTGTCCATACCACCAACCAACCTAGGTATGTTGCAAATTCTGAACCTAAGAACAAGGGTATCTTAGGACATAGGCCTACTAGACATGGTAGGACTAATCAGCCCAGAAATCCACATCCACAACCACATAGATATGGACCTAGGTTTATCCCTAAGTGTCACAATTGCGGTGTGTTGGAACACACGAAGACTAGGTGTCACAAACTTCTAAATAGGAATAGAAGTCAGAATATATCTACCCCGGTGAACTTCCTTACTAATTAGGTTAGTCACTTGAT